TATGTCAGACATTGGCCCAGCCTTTGCTTGTTGTTAATTTTGAATTTTTTTAATTTTAATTTTTAATTTTTGTGGCTACATAATGGACGTATGTGGGGTACTTTAGATGTTTTGATATAGGCACATGATATGAAATAACACATCATGAAGAATGGGGTATCCATGTCCGCTCAAGCATCTATTCATTGAGTTGCAAACATTCCAATTACACTCCGTAATCCATTTAAAAACGTAGTTATTATTATACTTGTTGCTTATTGTTTCTGCTTTCCTCTCCCATCTGTCATTGCTCTGGTTTCTAGGCTAATCTTCTGGGTTCTGTGAGTCTCCTCCATCATTGTTCATCCTCCAGACCTTGGCCAGACAACTTTTTCCAAAGGAAACAGTATTCTAACCACTCTGTTTAAGGAAGCCCTCAGTTACTCCCCTGGGAATCAAGCCACACTCCCAACATGGTGTCTATAGGGGAATTCAAGTTTCCAGGTTGATGACTTAGGCAACTTGGGAACAAACACTTGTGATGCAACTCCTCTGTGAGTCGGAAAAGGTCTCTTCTAGGTCTTTGTTTGCTTCAGAGTCCTCAGAAAGTAAACACAGCTGATCTGATTATTCCCCTCCACTTCCTCCTGAGTCAGAGTTATCTCAGGTTAACTCAGGGAAGAGGCTAAATGAAGCCTTGAAACCAAGCAGCCTCCATGACAGGCATTTTGTTTTGCTTGAATGACTGTGATGATGGGTCTTTGGTTATAAGGGCAGCACTAATTGCATCTTCTTAGACCAACTGTGGCCACCTATTCCCTGGCCTGCAGAGACTGGGAGATGCCAGGTCACCCCACAGCACCCACTCAGTCATTCAGCACAATTTTCTTAAGTGCCCGCTTTGTGCCTGGCACCATGCTCGGAGGTGGGGATTCAAAAGCTCTGCCTCCAAGGGCTTACAGTCTTTCTAAGAAGAAAGATGATAAATCAGAGACTCCATTAAATAGATGACTAGTGCTTGGTTAGATATCTGTTCAGGGCACTAAAGGGAATGAATTTCTAAGGTTCTTACAACCAACTTCTCATGACTTTGTACGAAGTTTGAGGCATGGCATCACCAAAATAAAAAGGGGGTGTCCACTGACACCTGCAAACTAGCAAACAGACACAACCACTTTGAAAACTGTTGGCCTGGCGCATTGGCTGATGCCTATAATCCTAGCACTTTGGGAGGCCAGGGAGGGCAGATCATGAGGTTAGGAGTTCAAGGCCAGCCTGGCCAATGTTGGTGAAACCCCGTCTCTACTAAAAGTACAAAAATTAGCTGGACATGGTGGCATGCGCCTGTAATCCCAGCTACTTGGGAGGCTGAGGCAGGAGAATTGCTGGAAACGAGACCTGGGAGGCAGAGGTTGCAGTGAGTCAAGATTGTGCTACTGTATTGCAGCTTGGGCTACAGAGTGAGACTTCATCTCAAAAAAGAAAAAATTGTTGAGCAGTATCCACTAACGATAAATGTATACATACCCTGTGCCCAGCAGCTCCTTTTCTAGGTCTGTATGTAGTCAATAGGAAATGCATATGTGAATTTTATATTAAAAGAGAAAATTGTAAATAAATACTGACCTGTAATTGAAACGTGCAGCAGACTGCAATGTTTAAGGGGAAGTGAAATAATATCTGCAGTTCAGGCCAAGCATGGTGGCTCACGCTTGTAATCTCAGCATTTAGGAAAGCCGAGGCAGGAGAATTGCTTGAACCCAAGAGTTGGAGACCAACCTAGCAACATAGTTGGACCCAGTCTCTACAAAAAAATTTTAAAAAATTTAGCTGGGCATGGTGGTGCATGCCTGTGGTCCCAGCTGCTTGGGAGGCTGAGGCAGGAGGATCGCTTGAGCCCAGGAGGCCAAGGCTATAGTGAGCCATGATCACACCACTACACTCCAGCCTGGAGAAAAGAACAAGAGCCTGTGTCAAAATAATAATGAATAATAGTGATGATAACATGTAGTTTAAAATACACTCATAAAAGAAGATAGATGAATAAGAAATGGGCAGATATGTAATAAAGCAGCTATGGAAACATGTTAGTCAGGGAGTTGAGATGGTGAGTTTATGGGTGCTCACTGTAAAATTTTGCAACTTTGCTATATGTTAATAAACTTCATATGAAATATTGGGAAAGATGTATATACATGCTTGCCCAGAGATATGTACAAGAATGTTCATAGCAGCATTATTCATAATAGCTCCAAACTTGAAGCAGTAAAAATGCCCGTCAACCATAGAATAGAGACATAAATTGTGGGTGTAGTGATCCAGTGAAATACTGTTCACGTATGAGAGTGAATGAGCCACAGCTATACACAACGATGTGAGCAGATCTCACAAACACAGTGTTGAGAGTAAGAAATCCGACTCGAAAGAGGATGTTCCGTATGATTTCATTTACGTAGAATTCAAAACCAGGCAAAACTCATCGATGGTGTTAGAAGCCATGACAGTGGTTTTTCCGGAGGTAGGGATGGTGACTGGACAGGGCACTGTGGGGGCTCCTGGGTGCTGGAAGGCTCTGTTTCTTGATCTCAGTGCTAAACAGATATGAAAATGCATCAAGGCTGTACATTTAGACGTTGTGCACTTTCCCGTATGTTTATGTACATCAGTAATAGCATACAAGGGGAGAAAAAGCAGGAAGATCAAACGAATCCAACTAGAAGCTTTCCCTAGCCAAGCTATTGGAGTAGGAACCCACTGTAGGCCTCTCTAGTAAACCAGAGTTGTGAAGGTATGAAACTTGCCTTTGGGGCATTCATTTGTTCACTTAGGCATACATTCACGTTGCATCAGTCCCTCCATTCTTCACTGATGTGCTTGCCTCTCCTTCATACAGATGTTCATTCACATGCACTGTGCTCTGGATCCAGAGCTGCTCTGTAAGGAGTGACCCAGCCTGGAGCTCACATGCATAGAGAGAGGCATGCCGGCATTTCGTTCCCCAGCCATATTTCCACATTCCTGGATTCCCATTTGTGATCCTTCCTGGGTATGTGCCCTAAGTTAGTATTTGAATGAGAGAAACAGAACCAGTAAGATAGATATAGGTGCATATAAAGAGATGTCTTATATGGAACTCACTCGTGATTTTGGAGATGAGCAAGCTCTGAGATCTGTCGGGTGAGTCAGCAAGCAGGAGACCCAGGATGGCCAGTGGTGTGGTTCCATCTGAAGGTCTGCAGGGTCAAGGCCCAGGAAGAGCTGCCTGAAAATTGACAGTTCTAGTTCAAAGGCAGGAAAAAGCCAGTGTTCTAGCTTGAAGGCAGGCAGGCAGGCAGGAGTTTTGGGGCATGTCTGCCTTTTTGTTTCAGTCGGGCCTTCAGCTGATTGGCCAGTGACCACCCACATTTGGGAGGGCAGTCCGCTTTCTTCAGTCTCCTAATTCAAATGTTAATCTCATCCTGACACGCACACCCAGAGTATCACATGACCAACTATCTGGGCATGCATGACCCAGTCGCGCTAACACATAAACTTAACCATCATCAAACCCTGAAGCATGAAAAGCCTTCTGGCTCTGAAGGCGCAGCCCTGTAATGGAGGAGGTGTAGCCAGGGGCACGGCCTGGTGCACATCACATCACAAGTGGACAGGCTGTCACCACCATGCACTTTGGTCCTATTTTACATATGGTTTGGATCAGTCATTGGTGGAAAAGAAGGCTTTGGCTGCCCAGTCTGCCTCCTGGATGGCGATGTTTTCTGTCTTAGAAAATAAAAAGTTATTTTGATTATTGCAAAATATATCATGCATACAAAAAGAGTAGCTGGAAGATATGCCTGCAGTTTAAAGGAATAGTTTAAAGCTTGGCAGATGGCAGATGACTAGTATCTAAAGGCCACTCGTTCCCCTCCCTAAAGGCAACCTCTCCACTCTTGCCTGGAGAAGCGACTCTCCTGAGTTTTGTGCTAGCCATTTTTGTGCTAATCATTCTGTTGCTTTTTATGAAAATCAAAGAGCACATCTCTAAAATAATAGATGACTTTGTTTTGCCTGTTTTGAGCCTTTAAGAACCAAACTGGGGCACAAATTTGTCTGCCGTGTGCTTTTTCCCTCCGCTGAGTGCTGGGCTCTGTTCATGTTGTTGCATGTAGCTGTCATTGATTCATTTCACTGTCATATAATATTCCACTGTAGAGACTGACCACCACATGTTCATCTGTTCCCCCCTTGGTACATATCTGGGTAACTTCCAGTTCTCTGCAATGGCGGTTGAAGCTCATGGGAGCAGTCCTGCTCACGTCTCCAGGTGCACAGAAGTGAGGCTTTCTCTAGGGTATACACCTGGCAGAGCAGGTGCCCAGTGGTAGAATATGTCTCTTCACTTTTCTAGCTAATGCCAGGAAATTCTCTGGAATGATTGCAGCAATATCTATTTCTACCAGGGATTATGAGAGTTTCTCATGGTACTACTCATGCACACCATGCATAGACCCCTTACCATCCTGCCTGGTCTCAGTGAATCACCTTCCCTGGCTTTCAGCCACCCCTACCCATACCACAGTCAGAGCTTTAGTATGGTAGGACTGTGATGCCCCCTATGTACTTCATGGATACTCAGGACAGCACGTTTCTTGGGTGTAACACAATATGTGAGCGTGTGTGAAATTCCCACCGCAGGGCAGAGGGCACAGACTTTAGTTTGACTGCAGTGCAGCTGTCCCAGTTTCTCCTTCAAGGGAAAGGAAGAAAACAAGCTCAACCAAGTGGGCTGTGCCCGGGGAGACTTCTAGGATTCTCTCTCAGTACCAATGTCAGGATGCTCATCTAAACTGATGAGCCGTGTTCTGCCATTTCCCATGGCCAAGAGCAAGGTGTCCCAAGATGGGATGTGTGTGTGATTTGTCATTCCCCAGCCATGGTCTCCCCTGCAAGCATGGGATCACCACCCCCTGCAGCTCTGCCTGGCGTGGAGGGGATGCTTATAAATGACCATCTTTTGTGCCATCTCTTTCCAATTACAGGTTAGCCTGGCGAGGAAGATAAAGACACTTACAACCAAGATGGTAATCACGAGTGGAAATGATGAAGACAGAGGAGGTCAGGAAAGAGAGAGCAAAGAGGAGAGTGTCTTGGCAATGCTGGGGATCGTCGGGACCATTCTGAACCTGATTGTGATCATATTTGTCTACATATACACCACGCTGTGAATGGTCCAGAGCATCCTCAGCGCCCTCAGGATGGCCAAAGACAGGAGTCCTGCGTGTTGGCGGATCACTGGCCAAACCCTGCAGGAACAAGCAGGCTTGACCCACACACGCCGCCCAATCAAATGCACCTTCACACTTTATAAAAGGTCACACAAATAGACCAAACCTGCTGCAGGGAGCAGAAGACACTAAAGCACAATGATTCCAACAGAACTCATTCGCAGCACTAGGAACTCAACGTCTTTGGCAGGGGGCCCAGAAGAATGCTTGGAAGACCAGCCTCTGACACCATCGGTGAGCGGATGGGTGCAGACCTTCATTATTCCAGATCGCTGACAGATATCACGTATTTGAAAAGATGAATAGGGCGGACATGGCTCGGATGCGTGTCTCCCAGGACAAGTGTTTCATCTTCACTTGATAAGCTATTTAGTGGAAAAACCACAGGGGCAACCCTTTGCAGGCATCCCATTCATCAAAAGTGTCTATTTGATACCGGGGAGATAACTTATTTTTCTTTTTTCATCGGCTTGACGTGTGTATCTGTTCATATCAAGGTTTATAAATATATATTTTTAATAAATGTGTTCTATTTTTTAGCATGAACCAAATACTTGGAGAGGCACTCCGAGATCCATAGAGCTTTCCTTGATTTTATCTGCTTTGCCTACGCCCCTCCCCCAACTGCAGATGTTCTCTTGTCTCATCTTGAGTCTTTTACTTTTGCTCTCTTGTTCTCTCTCTCTCTCCCTCTCTCTCTCTCCCCCCCCCTCCCCCTCTCTCTCCTTCTCCTTCTCCTTCTCCTTCTCTGTCTCTCTGCCTCTTTGGTCTGAAGGACATTTTCCCATTCCACCAGCCATGGTTTTGGTTGGCGCATGTTTTAAGATTGTCCATTGAGTGGCTTTTTGTTGTTATATCCAAGATATAAAACGATTGTGGGCATGCAGACCTAGATGCACCATTGTCTTTACTGAGAATTATGCATGAATAAGGGCTGAGTGATAGATCAGCTTGAAATGCAAAGGACTACCATTGAGAAAGAAGAGCGTGGCTGTGTTTGCGGATGAACTTTTGAACGGAATATTCACCTTCTTACTGGCAGCATTATTATTTCATTCTTGTGACCATTTGTTTATCAGATTTTGATTTTAGTGGTCGTGCACTGTGAGAGTTGGGAAGAACAAGGCAGAAAGCTCAGTACTAGGTGCATTACTCCTTCCTTTACAAGATACCCGGGATCCTCTTCAAAAGTGGGTGGGGTGTAAATGACACGTGAACTCCCCGCTGAGAGCTCATGGTGGTTCAGGCTGTGAGGATAGCCCTGTGACAAGTGACTTTTACTGGGCATGAGGAGGGGATTTAATGACTGCCCTAAAGGACTGCTGCATTTTTTAAGCCCTTGGTTTATACCAACATGAAGCTACTTTCTCTCTGGCAGGGATGGTTGAATAAAAACAAATTAGCTCCCTTCTCCTGGCTCCCTGAAATAGGCCCTTGCCTGGCTACAGTGGCATGGCCTTAACGAGAGGGTTAGTATTCCTTCTGTCATTGCCAGCTGAATTAGTCCATCTTCACCCTGCTGATAAAGACATCCCCAAGACTCGGCAATTTCCAGAGAAAGAGGTTTATTGGACTTACAGTTCCACGTGGCTGAGGAGGCCTCACCATCACAGTGGAAGGTGAAAGGCAAGTCTCACGTGGTGGCAGATGAGAAGGGAACACGTGTGCAAGGAGACTCCCCTTTTTAAAACAATCAGATCTCGTGAGACTTATTCACTGTCACGCGAATAGCATGGGAAACCTGCCCCCATGATTCAGTTACCTCCCGCTGGGTCCGTTCTACAACATGTGGGAATTTAAGATGAGATTTAGGTGGGGGCACAGCCAGACTGTATCACCAGCCTTGACCCTGGGCAGAAGCAGCAGCAGTCTGCCTGGCTGGATCAAATGATCCTGAGGCTTCTATAGTCTATGCCTCCAGATCTCTCCCTCACCCATGCTATGGTGTCTGAAATTCCACCATTAGAGAGTCCTTTCTTGGGCTCTGTTAAAGGAAAAATGCTCTTTTATAAAGCAAATGCCCCTGAGCAGCTGGCCCTGGCGTCGATTTATCAGACGTCTTCTCATCCCGGCCAGAAGGAAGGAAGCTAAGGTGCATAGAGGGCATACTGTGTGCTCAGGCACTGTGCCAGATGCTTCAGTTACCTAGAATCATCGAATTCTCATAGTAACGCTGTGAGAGAGGGAGTCTTTCCCACACATTGTAGAGAAGAATAAAGGGCTCAGAAAGATCAAGAAATGTCCCTGAGAGATCAGACCGCTACTAGTAGAGTCAGGATCCAAACCCGATGTATCTGATTCCTTCACCCTTGGGGCTCCAGAAGCTCCTGAGCAAGAGAGGAAGTGGAGAGGTGAGAAAGCCGCAGGAAGACCACCACACGCCCTTCTCCCTCCCCTGTAAAAACCCTGGGAACTTTTTGGACACTGGCAGAATATCATACACTAAGGACAAGAGACGAGAGGAGGCTGGTTAGAAATTAATGTCAGGGAGAAGGAGCTACTCAGTAGGCTCTGTGTGATTCTAGAAAGACTGTATGAAAATTCTGAACAGTTAACAGAATAAACAATAAAGGTGCAATGGAAAAAATACTTGATGTCTCTTCTTTCAAAATTATGGGATATGAAATGATTCAATGTCATTCCTTTGCCTATACATAGTGTTATTTTTTTAAAAAAAAACTGAGTGTGATGCTGTTAAATGGAGACTTTTGTTTGGACTATGGAAGCCTCCATGAATTTTCAAGTATACTAATTTAAAATGTATTGAGAGGGAAAAGGGCCTTTCCAGTCCTCTGCTCCGAGACGAGAGGAGGCACCACAGCTCCAGCGTGCCCTGTCTTATTTCTTTTCTAATTTAGTAGAGACCACGAACACGCACTGGGCAAACTCAGCTTCCCCCAGATCTGAAGCCATCGCGAAGGGACGTGGAAGGGAGAGGCAGGCAGTGCCCCTCCATCCTCCACATCTGAGTGAGCCCCGAGCCCAGACTTGGCCAGCAGTAGCAATACCCGAAACAATGCCAGGGCCGTGTACTCTACCAAGCACTTTCCACTCATCCCGTGGGGCACAGAATAATCACATGAGATGTGTGTGTTTATCCCCACTTTACACGATGAGGAAAAGAAGCAAATTGACTTTTCCAGAATTGCAGCCAGAACCCAGCAGAAGTAGGTCTTTGCCCCACGTCCACCAGCAGTCAGCACCTTGCCTGCCCCAGGTGGTGTGTGTGATGAGCCATCTGGCTAGCTCAGTCTCACAAGATACAGATTCCCATCACCCTGGCACTTCTCGATCACAATACAGCTGTCCCTGTATTGATCATAATCCAACTGGCCTTTCGCCTCTCCCCTGGGAAAGCAACTTTGACAGCTCAGGTCTCAGCAGTGGAGGGCCAGTGTGCTGCTGGCAACATAGCCTGGGGTCTTGGAGCTGCTCTATGGCCAGAAACCTGGTCGTGAGTCCCATCTCTGCTTCTTTCAATCTAAGTGACCTTGCAGGCAAGCTCAGAGGAACTCTGAGCTTCAGTTTTCCTCATCTGTAGGAGGGGATAACAACAGCCCCACCTGGAGGAGCTTTGTAAGGATTAAAGGAGACTGATCAGCTGAAGCTGCCAGCACGGGGCCTGGCCCACAGCTCATGCTCAGGTCATGCTAAGCTCCTGCTGCTTCATGAAGGCACTCGGGGAGCCACTGGGCAAACGTTTTTGGGGGCCCCTCCTGGCCTCACTCCCTCCAGTCTACATGGTGCCCTTGCCTGCAGGGAGGCCCAGGAAGGGGCCTCATGCCAGCCACAGAAATAGAAGTTGACATGGCAGCCCGGTCTTTTCATAAATCACACACACATAGTCACAGTCAAAAAGAATTACAATTCTAAAAATGCTATACAAGCACTTTTTAAAATTCAGGTAATTTCCAAATCTCACAACCCAGAAGCAACCACAATTAATATTTAGTGTGTAGTTTATAGAGCAGGTGGCTTGCATATCTGTTTGATGAGTCCACTTTCCTTGAATTTTGAAATCTGCTTGCCCTAAGGCAGGGCACACTCCTCAGCTACTCTCCCCAGGGTCTGCTCTCCACATTTCTGTAACTTGGGTCACAAGATGTTCTAGATGACATCTTTGAATGGCCGTCCAGGCATTGACCTATAAACAATAGATTGGATATTGAAATTTATAAAAAACGGCCTCATGCTATGAGCATGGCCCCCAAATAATTTTGTCACTGGCAATTATGGATATGTTTTCATGTCAATGTATCTATATGGGCAAGCCCTTGTGATGGTTGTTCGGCACTCTGTTGTTTAGACACACGGACGCAAAGTCCCCTGTTCTCTTATTGCTGACCCTTAAGGTCATTGTCAATGTTTTGCTACAAACCATGCAGCCTTGCTCTTCAAAGCATCCCAAGCATTGCTCTTACCTCCCCCATGATCCCCTAGAGTGGTCTCAGGTAGTGTCCTTTACAGCAAGTTTCAAGGACATATACCTCTCTCCCTCCCTCCCTTCCTCCACCTCTCCCTCCATCCCTCCTTCTCTGCCTCTCCCTCTCCCTCCCTCCCTCCTTCTCTGCCTCTCCCTCCCTCCCTCTCTGCTTCTCCTTCTCCCTCCCTCCTTCTCTGCGTCTCCCTCTCCCTCCATCCATCTGTCCCTCTGTCCCTCTCTGCTTCTTCCTCCATCCCTCTCTATTCTTCTCCATCCCTCTCTCTGCCACTCCTTCTCCCTCTGTCCATCTCTCCCTGTCCCTCTCTGCCTTTCTCTTCTTCTCTCCCTCTCCCTCCCTCTCTTTGCCTCTCCCTCTCCCTAACCCTTTGTCTCTCCCTCTCCCTCTCCTTCCTTCCTTCTCTGCCTCTCTTCCTCCCTCCCTGCGTCTCCTCTCTCCTCCTTGTCTCTCTCTGCCTCTCCCTCTTTCTTCCACTCTCTCTGCCTCTCCCTCAGTCCCTCTCTCCCTCCCTCCTTCTCTGCCTCTCCCTCTCCTCCTTCCCTTCCTCTCTCACTCTCCCTCTTTCCCAGTCCCTCTCTGCCTCTCCCTCTTCCTCTCTCCCTTTCTGCCTCTTCTCCCTCCCATTCTGCCTCCCCTTCTCCCTCTGTCCCTCTCTTTATTCTTCCCTCTTTCTCCCTCCCCTTCCTCCTCCTCTAAGCACCAGGGCATCAGCTCACTTTCCTCTCCTTTACATGTAGCCACCCCCATGCTTGGCTGGGGGCGGGGGCTCCCTTCCTACCAGCTGCCTGAAGAGCATGAGAAAGCCCTCCCTTCCCTGTCTCACTGTTCTCCACACCAACAATCCCAGTGCCCCTTTAGGCCCTTTCCTATCAGCAACTTCATGAGCCCAGACTGGCTAGGAGCATGCCACGCATTGGGAAGAGAAAGTTCCAGGGGACAAACCCCTGATTTCTCTTCTAAAAGATCTCCCCTAGGAGACTTGTGGCCTCTACCTCCCTAAAGGCAGGACCCCTATAACAGGACACCTCCAGAAAGATGCCCGTGTGGACTGGGAGACCCTCTGGCACTGCTGTGTGATGATTTCTCCCTGTCATGGGAAGCAGATGGGATGAACAGACTGTCAATATTTTCTGTTGTTCATAAACATGTTACATAAAACTGTGGATACTTTTCCCAGAAGATGTTGCTACATGTTGCCACAAGAAACAAGATTCTGTAACTGTCAATTTTCTCTTAAAAGACTTTAAGAGGTGTGCTTGTTTACTTTCTCCATTTCCTTAGGGAGTCATGGGGAAACTTTTCCAGAATGAGGTAAGAGTCACAGTTGCATGTCCCCATGGGAAAGTAATAAAAGGTCATCATCCTTCCCTCCCTGACGCAGCAGCCCACCAGGTACATAGCTCAGCTTCAAAGCCCGGGCATCCAACTCTGTCATCCACCCCTAACTACCAAGAAGACAGCACGTCTCAACATCCTATTGGGGCACTGGCAACATCCCACCTCCCAGCCAAGAGCAGGAAGCAGGGGCGTCGTAGCTGAATAGCCCTAAGCATTGCAGTTAATCAAAAATAAGAGGACAGCACTTTTAACTAGGATCTGTCTCACTGGGACTAAAGGAATCAAAGTTAGAACAAACACAGAGAGGTGAGTCAGCCTTAATTCCGGCAAGATTTAAAGCCGACACTTAATGTCTCCCTTATCTCATCTTTCTCTTAACCAGGAAGGGGTTGTTTCTAGCATGAAAGGCCAAAGGCACAGATTGACTGACCCATCCGTGTGGGCCGGCCACAAATCAAAGCAGACAGGACATTTCATCGCCGAGACCTCGAGCCAGGGAAGGTTGACTTCAGGCGCTTCCTCACAAGCCTGCGCATGCCAGAATGAACAGCGGTAACTTCTACTGGAGTGGATGCGTGGTTAGCTTGCCGAGCCCCTCAGTCAGTTTTTGAAATGATTCATAATTCTCGCAACAGAAACCAGGCAGCCGCCACAATGCGGCGTCCTGCCCGCGGTTACCGTAACTCTCCCCGCTTCTCACCATCCAAGCCTCTGTTGTCGTAGCCTCTGGAGTCACTGCCTGACCGAGGTTGGCCATATCCTTTTTTCCTTTTCTTCTTTTCTTTTCTCTTTCTTTTCTTTTCAGATGGAGTCTCTCACTGTTGCCCAGCCTGGAGTGCAATGGCGTAATCTCGGTTCACTGCAAACTCCACCTCCTGGGTACAAGTGATTCTCCTTCCTCAGCCTCCTGAGTAGATGGGATTACAGGTGACCACCACCATGCCTGGCTATTTTTTTTTTTTTTTTTTGTATTTTTGGTAGAGACAGGATTTCACTATGTTGGCCAGACTGGTCTTGAACTCCTGACCTCGTGATCCACCCGCCTTGGCCTCCCAAAGTGCTGGATTACAGGTGTGAGCCACCACGCCCAGCTGTGGCCACGTTCTTTCTTTGGTAACTTTGTTTTCATTTCTAAAGAGCCTGCTTTAGTGTTTTTAGTTCTAAAGACTGTACTGTGGAACTTTGGGTTCTGAAGTTCTGACACTGCCTCCGTGTTGAGAGGAATGTGAACTCAGCTTCAAGGGGCTGTTCTGGCCTGGCCACCCAAGCCGCCAATAGTTCTCACCTCTCACACCTTCCACCAGAAAAGTTGATGGATCATTCCACTGCCTGTGAGTACTGAAGCAATAAGTGTGTGCAGAAAGCCAATCCTCACTCCTCAAGGACCATCCCCCTTTTTTTCTGAGAGCCAGGAAGTTATCCAGAAATGGAACTGGTATTCAGAAGTAGGAAACCTATGTTCAAGTCCCAGCACTGCCACGTATTGACTATTGATCTTGAATCACACCTTCAGTGTTCCTGAGCCTTCATTTTCTTGTTGTGAGTTTAATAATTCTGGTCTCTCAGTGTTGTCTGGATTCCGTCTTTATATAATGTCATTTGGGGAGCTGAGAAATGTGTGCTTCTGCTAGCAGTTAATCACAGAAATTAGAAATTACATACAGATGATAGATAAAAAGTAAATACATAGCAGAGACGAAAGAATTTATAGAGATAGATATATTTAGATAGATATGTGTATTTAAATTTATTCACTAAAAATGATAAAGATACAAGATTCAGATGCAGCAATGTTTCAAAATCCTTTTA